CCCGCCCCAAGCCAGCTGCTGAAGAGCACCATATAAACACACCAAAATAGCTGGGAAATAAGTGGAATGGAGCCAAGATCTGGGACCCATAAACAAGAAACCTTTTAGGCTATGAAAGCAACTGCCCAGCAGAAATGAAGAAAGATGTGGTGTAGAACAAATTTTGTACTGCTGTTCATAAGGAAAGCCTAATAGGTCTTCCTAGAAATCATTCATTAATTTTACAAAGGCAAAGGGAAGAGGAAAGAGCTCATATGCGATGCAAATACGTCAAGCTGAAGGCGTTCATTGCAGGCATCTTAAATGCCTTTTTCTCCTTGGAAAAGATCAGTGGTGGCAACGCCCCCAGCAATTTTTCAGCCATGGGGATCGGTTCCAAGTCCACCTCACCCCACTCCCAGCGGGGCTGAGCCGGTGGTGAGCAAACCTGGGGGCAACCACCGCTCACAACGCGCGGCCCTCCAGCAGCCCATCAGCCACACCGGCACCCGACAGGAAGGGACGGGAGCAAGAGACAGCACAATATGCGGCAGTCGATGTAAGGAACAGAACAAGAAAGAAAATCTCTGCTGCTCCTCCCTTTCCTGAATATAAGGCTTGGGGAAAAGTTCTCCTCCCACCCTATAGTTTCAGCCTAAGTTTTACCTTTTTAAATGACAGTAAGTAAAAGCAAATCTGTCCTATGAATATGACCGTGTTCCAGACAACAAATTGCCTGCTATCTATTTATACTGTGAAATATTCATTAAATATCAACCACCAATCAACTGTTAAGGGACCCATCTTGATAAATGCTAGACAACAGATGAAACCAAAGGAACTTCACAGTCTCCCTGCCTTGCTGAATGGGGCCATCAGTCATTTTTAAGTGGTCGTTTGTTACATTGTTTTATCCAAGATATTTATAATCATAATGAATTGAGACAAGACATCAAACTACAGCCTCTTTGCCTGAGAGTAATCTAAACTGAAAAGCACAGAACAGAAAGGATGGATTGATGGCCAGTGCAAAATAACTCCCTTGAGATTAATATATTTTATCCTGTTGATGTTTCTAGTCATAATTATACTCCAAGAATCCACTGAATGATGTTAGATGTGAAACACCACTTAAGAACAGTTGCTTCCTTTCTAGGAAAACTGCATTTGTTTGTAATGGATACGGAGGGGAGAGCAAGAGAACAAAAACCAAACATATCACACTGCTACTAATATTCAGACTATGCAAAAATAAAAACATAAAACTTCCTCAAAACACCCTCAAACACATTTTAAGAAAAATTATTTTTATCATGGCCAGACTTTAAAACCACAAAAAAAGTAAAGACTGAAAGTCCAATGAGTCCAAACTCCATCCGAAACCAGGGTAGTAGCTCCAAAGGTAGATGAGGTGGCTCAGGAGCTTGCCCAGCCGGCACTGGAGCATGAGGTTGTTCCTCCCCAGGTGCAGGACTCTCCCCTCTGCTGAACTTGATGAGGTCCCTGCCAGCCCATTTCTCCAGCCTGCCAAGGTCGCCCTGAACAGCAGCCCTGCCCTCACCGCGTCAGCTGGGTACCATTGCGCAGCACCACGCATGTACGCCCTGCTCCACACAGGAATCAGGGGAGGTGAGGCAAGGGCACATCAGAAGTAGGAAGACTCCTGAGGTGGGAGCTCTGGAGAGCTCAAGAAAGATCTCCTTTGTACTAAGCCCTTCCCTCTAAACAGCTGAGCCAAACTCGGCCCTTGTTTTTTGTTGTTGGTTTTTGGTTTTGTTTTAAGAGATGATGCATGGGTTACATTCACGACAGCAGTACTTCTTGGGCTCCCTAGAAAATAAGCAGTCATCTCCTAACACCACTGAATTCAATACAACTCTGTGTTGTTCATCCTTTTTTAAGCCTTAAATAACTTACAACATAATTAAGCCTGATCAAATGAACCGCCCAGTAGTATTTCTGCAGGCTGTCCACGAAACCACAGTGTGAGTACGAGACTGTACCCAAGACTACTTGTTAAGTACAATGCAGACCTGCCTTTTCGATCTGAGCAATCTCTTATCCCCTTTAATTTCGTTCTCTGACCTGCTTTCAGTCCTGCCCACTTCTTTTTGGTTTAGTCTTGATCTTTAATTTGCCCAGGACTTTTTGAGCTACAGTTCCTACCTGCCCGTTACCAATTTCCTTACCAGCTCCTACCCTGGGCTCTCATCTCCATACATCCGCAATAATCACTGTAGACTGAAAAATGTAAACTTTAAATGTCAGATTCAACAGAAAACTGAACCCGAGGCAGACCAGCAAAGACCTAAACTATACCGATGTAAAATACAAATGATGCAACCCAAGTTGTTTACACCCCCAACGATACACCAACATACTCATGTTAGTAATGGAAAGCTTTCAAAACTTGGTTAGCAAAGCAGCAATAAAGTGAAAGGCTGAGGCAGGGTGCTGGGTGAAATCCAATCTCTTTCCTCTTAGAGCCAGAACTTTATCAACTGATCTTAACAGTGACCACAGAGGAGCCCTCTACACCTCTATTGCTTAAGTTTTCTGGAATCAGTCTTCCCAGAAAAGGAATTTGTACCCTCAGACTTTGAGTTCCTCCACATAACCACATTTTTTTCTTGTTCAGCAATATGATTTAATCATGGTACTTTCCTAATAGAAAATATTAACAGCTGGATTCAGAGCCCTACGTTTGCAAAGACTGCCAAACAGAAAACATGTAAAGAAATAACTCTGTATCCCCTTCCTTATCTGCTCATTTTTGTGCAGCTTCTCCACGACTACTGCGGGACGTCATCAGAAAGGCATGAGAGAGTGGAACTATGGCTTGACAAGAAAGAGGTCACCCTGTTCTCCTGTTCTTCCTTCCTTCTGCCACTGCTCCGCATTGAACCAAAAAGGCAAAAGCAGAGCTAGCAGTGCTGCGTCTCTCATGCAACTACAGTCTTTCCCAAGAAACTTGGGAAAAGGCCACACAAGTCCAGAAGTCTTTTGCGTTTGCCTGATCTGGAAGCCCTCCCTCCTCTGTGCAGACTCTGGTTATGATGGCCCCTCTCTAGGATCTGACAAATCCTTAACGTTTTCTGCCCTGGTGTCCTTTCGAAGCCAAACACCTATGACTGTCCTCCAGTCTGGCCCAGCTTCTCCTCAATTCAATGCAAAACATTACCACGCTACAGCAGTACTACTCTGTGCTGTCTTCTGGATAGCACAAGGAGTCCACTGTAACAAAATGATATCCAGAGATAGCTTACAGATAATTAGGTTGGTCTTTGCACCCTCTCACACTTTCTGCCAGTAAAGAGCCTCCCTGAGTTCATACATACAGGATTTTATCACTGCAGTTCTGGAAGATGCAAGCAAAGTTTGGATGGTATCAGTTTTTCATTCTGCTATTCACAGCCAGGAGGTCTGAGCAGGGAAGTATTTGCTCCCCCATGATGCAAGCCCATCAGACATCGGTACGGACTGCAGCCGTCGACACGTCAGCAATCAAACCAAAGAGAAATTCCTTAAGACTTCGTGCACTGGTTTTAGCAGGCAACAACCACTGATTCATACCTGGGCATATGGGTCCCTGATCCCATAGAGAAATTGTGTACATTAGTGCAGAGCTACTAATACCACTCGCTGTCCCTATTAGGGTTTAAATTTGGTTCTTGGAGGCTGGAGGTGTTTTCTGGGACTTGCGGTATATCAAGCAGATGTTCTGTGGATGCTTCTGAACTAAAGATTGTTTTGCTAGCTGTTGTTTTGGGAGACTGGACTTAAGGACACAGATGATTCCCTCAAGTCTTATGCTGCTTGTGAATCTGGAGGTAGCTAGGATCAGCGTGTCCACTACCTGTTGTAAACACTAAAAAAGCATACCCAAGAAGGAATTAAACTCTTCTGTATCCAAGTCAGCTGTTGATAAACTGTAAAACTTCTGACCCACTAGAAGATTGACAAAACCAAATTATCACGAAGATAAA